TTGTTATCACTATTATTATCACTGATATCGTCATCGTTATCAAAAGATCACCATTGTATTTATCAATTGTATTGAACGTTCTCATTATCTTTAATCGCATAAATACTTATAGTGTTCGATTGGTTCCGTTTGCAAGTTCCAAAGAAAACAAAAGAGTTAATCCTGCTCGCTTTAAGTGTATCTCTGTGTTTCATTAGATATAAATTCCTATCGAAGTTAAATGCTGTGGTCACAATTGATGAAAAACATCGTTGATTTTAATTGATTAAGGTTATATTGGTTGAGCATATATGCATACTCTTTGGAGTTAGAATGCATCACATAGAGATCGTTCAAAAGCTGAATGAATTTTTTGAAGACGGTATTTGAAATGTACCAATTTTGCATTCGTTTTAAACGAGTTTATGAGTTCTAGAGGGTGATTAAATCTGGAAACAAGATGACTTTTGTGTATGTTGACAATGAGAATTTCAACGATGAACTGAGCAGTTATAATTGTCAGTCGAGCTGTGATCCTGCGCCTCTGCAAATTTTACCGTGCGATGAGGTTATCATTCTTTGCTATTACTATTCTTCTAAGAATTGTGAAGTGAAATTTTGATTTTGTTCATTAGGTTTATTGAATCAATTCATCAGAAGAGTGATAGAGGAATTGTCTGATTGGGAAAGGAATTAATCTGGAGTGATTGAGGTGCCCGGTGTATCGGAATACGTTGAAGTGAGTAGTGCTCAAGCGAGAAGATATAAACTGACACGGAAACGACGTGCCACATCGCCGATTGATTTCATTTATGCGAACGATACTGCTTATCAGCAAAGCATCAACAAAACCATGTTTGTTTGTTTCATGTCTTTAACAAATTTTGCCTTCCTTTGAAATTCGCTCCGAAATCTAGGAGCAGCAGCAGTCAGTTTTTTACAGTATTATGATTTTTTACCTTAAAAATTTCACTTGATTATTGATTATTGATTCATTTGATTATTTATCGAATCGAAAAATTTTAAGTGAATGCATGGATGGTGCAGAAAATGTAATTATTGTTGACAATGGTAGTGTTGACGAGAGTGATGGATATTTGTACTGTATAAATGATCGAAAAGCGTACAACAATGAAGCATT